ATTCTTGGCCCTGTTGACCTTGATTCTTACTGAGTTCTCTGTATGCCCTTGTCACATATCAATCTCATTTTTGTCATAGAGTGGGTTCTACCGTTGGATGAGCTGCCTGGCAAAGTGGTAGGCCCCATATTGGTACAAGTGCTCAAGAAAAACCTAAATTCATTAAACAAAACTCATTTATTGAGTGCCTGCAATGCCTTGGGCACAGGGGATAGAGGCGAATAAAAGAGAGGTTCCCCCAGATCCCCCTCCCCCAAGAAATGCATGGCCTGATTGGGAAGGTGGTACAGTGGTGGTGGTGACCATCTGTCATAGAAGAAAGACTGCCTTACACGCAAGGTTGAAGCAAAGGACCCCAGGGTGTGTGGCAACCTTACATGCCTGATTTTCTGGGACAACCTGGATTTCAAATGTCCTATGCCATTATCACACGATCTGTCTTTGGGGAATAAAAACATAGGCCCTAGTACTTCAGGAGCTCCATGCTAATAGGCCAGAGTTGAGACTAAATCCAGATGCTGGTTTCTGTAAAAAGCCCTCAGGACGCTTGCTTCAGTTTATGTTTGATTCCTAGAGTGGGTTCATCACCGCTGGACAAGAGCCAGCCACCCACTTCAGCTCGCTGTCCCTGGGGCTCTGCTCTGATATTTATTAGATGTTGAATATTGAGCATTATGAACACTCTAAAAAGAAGCATTTAATGGGTGCTTAAAGTTTACAAGAATTTCCAGTAGTAATTCTGGTGATTTTCACCCCATTTATTTATGCTCCACATAAGCTCTGTGGCCAGAGACCTTCCAGAAAGCCACTTATAAATGCAACTGCTTGAAGTGAGAGTCACACAGGCTCTGTCCCCACACTTGGCAGGTTGGCCAGAGGTGACCACAGGTGGGAAGAGCAGCCTTAGCCGCTGTCCCTGCCTTCCAGGGGTGTACCGTCTCTGCACAGAAAACCCCTTTTCAGAGCTGTGTCAATTTTCCTTCACTACTGTCAACAAGATTCACTGTCAGAAAGATCCAGACAGCCATTCTCTCCGTGAATGACACTTCAGACTTGGGGCTTTTTAACAAGTAAGAATCAAGAGCCCTGCAGATGCAGAATTCTTGAAGCTGGTCTGGCATTTGTAACCAAAGACTAGACTACAGCAACAGTGCAGAAAACAGAGGGTCTTCTCCGTGCACTATGTGTAGATTCATATTTACCACGTGTCCCTGTCTCAGAAATACCTATGTCAAGAAAAAAATGTGACATGAACGGCCTGTATTGCCTGGATTTGGTTAGAATTAGTCCTGTCTCCCAACATGAACAAAGACATAACAGAATCATAGAATCGCAGCATTTAAACGTAAGTCTAACAAAGTATCAAAAATGTGCTCCTTTTGGAAAATAGCGATGTAAATTGTAAATGGCCCCCAACCCTGCAGCCTGCTGTTTCCACGCTGGCTTATCATTGTTTCTTTACATTTCCCTATCATCATGAACCTCTTACTAGGACCATTGCACAGACAGAATGTTAGGTTTCAGGTTTACAATTATACATACACTGTACCTTTAAAACCCTGTGATTGTGTCCTCTTTTGACAGACGAGAAAACTACAATTCTAAGAGATTCATTAGTGATGTGACCAGTGGCAGAAACAGAAAGAAAACCACCCTTCTCCTCTCCATCTGAGCTTTTCCTGGTTGACATTTTCCAGTCCTTATCACAGAGTAGTTTAAAACAAAACTAAATGCTCCCTAATGGGGGTCTTCAAATGCCAAAAGATAAAGATGCATGAAAGATCTTGTGAAATTAGGTATCTTCTGACATCAAAACTACAGTGAGATTGATGCTGCATTCCCCCCGAGAGCAGACACGTCAAACTCAGGAGGGCTTATTAGAAGCTCAACTTTGCAACCACTATGGCCGCTCACAGACATCTGTGCTGCCAATCTGTGCGTTTCTTCACCAAGCTTTGGGAGTGCCTGAGAGATGACAAAGCCCTTACACCCCAGTAGCTGGCACTCATAAAAAGGTATGGTTATTTTTTTCTTTTCCAGATCGACCCATAGGTTGAAGGATTTTACGTGTGGTCTAAAATGAATGATGAGTGAAACAACCAGCCCTCCGGAGAAGCATCCCACCACAGTTCTCCAGTAAGATTGTCAACCGGACCAACTAACTGCTCCATTAAATCCACAGCTAAGTGACTCCAGTTCAGGCTCACACGACCTGCAGCCAGCAAGTCAGGAAGTGAGTCTGGAGAATACTATGACTTCTAGTTTAAAGAAGTCATTGTAGAACAACTCTTGGAAAGCTTGGGTGCTTAATTTGGGTGAGGTGAGGTCTGATATTGACCTTGGGCCTGTTTTGTGAATTCAGGAGAAAATCTTCAATGAAGTGATAGCCACAAGTTTAAAAGTAAAGAACGTACATCAGGCTACCTGTGCTCCTGGCTGTTTAGAGGAGCAATTCATTTCAAAGCAAAATGGAAAACCTAAAGCCCGGGAACCAGACTCTCTCAAAGCCCCTCCCCACCGATCTTCTCCACTATGTTTCTTCTCTTGCTTTGGTCATACTTTCGGAAAAATTTGGTGACTTTCCTTTTTCAAAAATATACTTTATTGATTTTTTAGAGAGAGAGGAAGGGAGAACTAGAAACAGCAATGTGAGAGAGAAACATGGATCAACTGCCTCCTGCACTCGGGATCCAGCCAGAAGCCCGGGCATGTGCCCTGATCAGGAATTGAACCGGAACCTCTCAGTCCATGGGATGACACTCAATCCACTGAGCCACACTGGTTGGGCAGTAACTTTCCATTTTTAACTGAAGAAATATCTTTTCAAAACTTACCGCCCCCAAAATGTTCTTTTAAAAAGGTGACGAGCCCTGGCCGGTTTGGCTCAGCGGTTAGAGTGTCAGCCCACAGACCGCAGAGTCCCGGGTTTGGTTCCCGCTAAGGGCATGTACCTCAGTTGCAGTTTGTCCCCAGCCACTGTTGGGGTTGTGTGGGTGGCAACCACTCGATGTCTCTCTCTCACATGGATGTTTCTCTCTCTCTTCCACCCTCTCTCCCGCCTGCTCTATCTGAAGATGAATGGAAAAATGTCCTCAGGTAAGGATAAAAAAAAAAGGTGACAAATGACCCTAAAGTTCCATTAAAGCATAATAAAATGTGTTATCCCCAAAATAGTTTTTTATTATCAAAATAATTAATTAATGTTTTAAAAACTTAAGTACTTAAATCTCCCTTAAAATATTGTTATACAATCTTTTAGAATTATACATACACAAGAAAGGTCTGCTATTCAAGTCAAAGTAAAACCTACCCTGAAAAAAAAAAGTCAGACAAAAATTGATTGTACATTTTTTTCTGAACTTACTCTTTTTAATGAACTAGAAAGTGGCCTCCATACAACTACACCAAAGTTAAAACTTACTTGTGTCTTTTGAAGCCACAATCGCATTTCTCTTCTTAAAGGAAAAGAAGCGATTCTTCTAAAAGCCATGTATCCAAATTTCTTGAGGCCAAGTCTCCACCACTGCAGTTCTGGTAAGATCTGAACTGGTCGGCATGAAAGTGTGTCACCCTCTTTCAGCTTCTATTAGTCTTTTTACTATCTCAATGGCTATTAAATGACTGAAAACAGATGTCTGAGTTCCAGGAGGGACCTGTGTCTGCCTGGGAAAGCTGAGAATCTTTAGCATCACAAGGCTCTTGACATTCCCCTTTCTACAACCACTCCTGAACTAGAGTGAGCTCACCACAGGAGGCATTTGCAATTCCTTTGCCAGGGCAGAGGGTTAAACAAGGCTCAGGTTTTTATGCTTTGAATCCATTGTTCTCTTACACCACTTAAAGTGTAAGATGCTTTCTGAGGTTTTTTTTTTAAGGAGCTTAAGCACAGAGCAGAGCCCCTTGAATATGGGAGGGTCTGGGGGTGCAAACCTATTAGCAGAAGACCCCTTCTTACTCATCTTCTTGAGGAAGAGTTTCAGGACAAGCTTGTCTATTATCTACTACTCTGGCTCTAGTTCAAAGTAACAGGGGCTTTTAGCCTAATCTTATAAAACTGGAAATTGAGGCTCAGGGGCTGACACATTCTCAATAGCAGCCAGAAAGAAGACACAGGAATGAACACTCAACTTCTGATTCCAATCAAATGCTTTTCTGACCACATCATGTTGCGTGATCCTTCTGGTTCCAACAGTATTAAAATGCCACAATTAAAAAAAAATTGCTGCCACTATTCACAGCCCATGTCACTGTTTGGAACCTGACATCACTTATTCATTGGGGAACAAGAAGCACATGAGTAAGTGCTCCAACATAAAAACTTCTGTTTTCAATTTAATTCTTTTGCTCTTTTAAATGCTTAAATGCTGGACACTAACTGAAAAAGATCCTCAGTACTATGGTGAGGAATCTAACAGATCTTGCTTCTGGTGGAAATATTCATACATGAAAGAGTCCAGAATACAGAGTCTACAATTAAACTAGAAGTACCTGCAAATCATTACTTTAATAGAAAGGAAGATACAATTATAACATCGAAGACAGACAATGGCAGTGCTGGACCTGAGAGTCCGAGAAAGTCCTTTGGCTGGGTCCTTAACCTTGAAGTTTGTGTGACCTAAGTTCCTGCCTTCCTCCCCTTCCCTTCTATCCTCATGAAGCCATCAAGTAGGGTCAGCAAGGGTGACTAGATACAAAGAATGCCATCTATGACTCTGTGTGTGTGTGTGTGTGTGTGTGTGTGTGTGTGTGTGTATGTGTGTGTTCTTTTTACTGGCAATAAAATTCCTGAGCTGTCAGCAAGTTGTAGGGAGGGGCACCGGACGGTGTATTTGTTTCGCAGGTGAGCCTCGGAGATGAACTAGTTGGGAGCCATGTTACTGTGCACCACTGCTTCATGGTTCTGTTTCTCAATGTGGAGTCAAGTTCAAACTAAATAAACGACAGCCTCCCCCCAATCATCCCCATTTTGTTATTATTACGCCATAGCATTGGGCACTGACCTGCTTTGCCCACTTCCCCTTTCCTCAGTGATCCTTCAGCCTGGCACCCAGCTCTGAGATGAGGCCTGCTTAGCACCAGTGAAGTTCCCCACGTTCAAACCAACAACATTCTGTGTGGAGATGAGGGAATCAAAGTTAAAATCCAACCCATCAGCATCCATGAGGTCAGTGCGAATAATGGACTCCATGTCACATTCCAAGCTCCCATTGAACATGTCCAGGTCCAAGTCGCTGGGGAACTTCTCATGGCCCATGACGGAAAGGTTTGCACTCGTTGAGTACAAAGAGGAGCCTGAGAGAGAGTCCGAGAGGGTTTGCATAGACTGGCTGACGAGAGACTGCTGCTGGTGTTTGGCTGACCCAAGGCTGCTGGAATCGCTCAAGCCCATGTTGCTGACAGAATTTGACAAGGCACGGCTGCCACTGAGAGCGCCCTGGGTTTGGTGCTGGTGGTGGAGCAAGTTCTGACTGACCAAACTCCCCTGGTTAGGCTGGGCGGCAAAGGACATCATTGGGTCATTGCGAAGCATCACATTCCGGCGGGAGTTCTGGGCAGACACAGCAGTGCTGGCCTGAGACATCAAGGGGTCCGACTGGGTCATCATGACATCGCTGTGGCTGAGTGAGTCTGAATTCAGCAGGTCCTGGAGTGTCTGGGTGCCATAGTGTGACATGGAAGAGAAGGTAGCTGGCTTGTTCTCTTGGATGGTCTGCATGGGAGACTGGCGCAGGGAATTCAGAGATGAGGGTCCAAACACCGTGCTGTTAAAGGAGCTGGTTGGAGAGCCCAGGCTGGAGCCCTTGGTGGTGTATGGGAAGCTAGAGCTCCGCTGCATGAGTCCTCCGGTGGGGGATGGCTGGGACGATGGGAGCGGGATGTTATCCAGCAGGTCATCCATGAGGTTGTCAGCCAGACCATCATTCAGATTCATGGTGCCCGCCATGTCGGTCAGCCGCGGCAGTTCCACGGTGCACGGCTTGCTTACAGAGGGCGAGAGGCTGGCTGAGCTGCTGTAGAGCATGGGGGAGAGCGGTGCATCATCATCCTGGACATCATCCAGCTCTGTGCTTGCCAGGATGGGTGACAGGCGGCCGCTGACTGTGCTGGCATTGGAATTGGTGCGTGAGCGAAAGTCCGTCCATGCATCCAGCTCATCACTGCTGCGTGACGTGGGGCTGCCAGGCCACTTGGAGAGCTGGGAGGGACTGTCGTCCGCTGACTCAGGAGCTGTCTGCAGGGCTGCCTTCTTCTTGGCTGCGCGGCTACGGCTCTTGGTATACTTGTTGCTGTTGTCCATGGAGACAGCCCGCCGCCTGGGTGCCTTCCCGCTCTTCCCTCCGTCAGGGTTGATGATCCACCAAGAGCTTTTACCGGTCCCTTCATTCTGGACCCGCATGAACCGGCTGTGTAGCGACAGGTTGTGCCGGATGGAGTTCTGTGAAGAGAGAAGGGGAAATGTGGACTATGAGCCAGAATGGTCCAGAAACAGCACCAAGAAGAAATACGTGTTCATACTAATTTTTAAACACCTGCATAACCCTCCTTGGCTTAGAACTAAATGACTCTGTAAATGGCAAGTTTCATATTTAGGAAGCAGGAGATGGTTTCATATCCAGGAAATCCTGGGAATGTATAAGCTCACTGACACTGTTTTTCACAAATTCCAAAGTTTTGTTGTCCTTTCTGTCATTGCATTTCCTATACTGAAGTTCACATTTATAAATTATTACCACATCACTCTCTCCCTGCTCTTTGCAACAAACCTCTGTGGCTCTCTAAGGGTAATTAATCACCTGGGGGCTATCTGGTTCTCAGTCATGGTCCCCTCCTCCACTAGGTAGAGGCAGCATCTACCATCTTCTTAACATCTAATGAACTCAGAACCAGTGTGAATTTTAACCTGTGACTTCAGCCACAATTTCACACCTGACAGGCATAAGAAAAAAACTCTAGAGTAGGATTTGCTGAGTTGACAGACATAGGCAAGCCTCCCATTTAGAAAAATTCCAATTAATTTATACAGATACTTCCCCCTCAAGGTAACGTGATCTGAGCATAGTAATTTGTTGGGGGGGGGGGGGACTTTATAGTGGAAAAACCAGACAAATGTTATCTCAGCCAGATGATCAAGGGTAATGACAACAGGGATAAGTCATGTTGATAATATCTACTCTTGATGTGATGAACATTCACCTTCCTCTGCCGTCCTCCTCCCTAAACCCATCACCCCAGTCTAACCAGGAGAAAAACATCAGACAGGTTCCAATTAAGGGACATTTAACAAATGCCTGTCCAGAGCCACAAGGAACCCAAGGAAGCATAATGACTAAATGTAATGTGGTGTCCTAGGTGGGATGCTGGAACAGAAAAAGGACATCAGGTGAAAACAAAGGCCATCTGTATCGACAGTGGTCCATTAGTTGTGACAAATGTACAAAATTAATGCAAAATGTTAACAACAGGGGACACGATGTTGGGCATATGAGAGCTCTCTATACTAGTTTTGCAACTTTTCTGTAAATCTAAAACTACTCTATATTTAAAATGTTATTTTTTAATAGGAGAAATAGGGCAAAATATCCCCCCAACATGAATGACTACACCCATCTTGCAAGAATCCTCCTGGCTTGGAAGATAAGCCCAGTCGACAGGGATGACCCAGATCCAGTTTTATCTTTGCCACCGACCAACCATGTGACCCCGAGCAAATAATTTAATCTGTCTGCGGCAACTTCAGTTCTCCATCTTCATTATAGCCATAATGACATCCAAACCATCCCTCCCTGACAGGGATGACGTAAGGATGATATATGATAATAGACTTCAGGAGCTTATCATGCAACCAAGGCAGGGTGTTCTTACTGCTACCATCAAGTACAGAGTCCACAGTGAGAGAGGTCACTGCCAGGCGTGGGCGCCTTCTAACCTGTAAAATGCCTCATGGGCAGTAAAAGAGAGGAGTTGGTGGTGTTTAGGGCACATTTAGGGCAGCAGCTGAAGGCCAGATGAGCTTGTATTTGCAAGTTAAAGACAAAAGATATTAGCTGATGCTGTATATTAAATATGAACAATCCTAAATGTTACCCTAGTTTTTTAAAAATTGGCAATCACCAAGTGTATATTTATGTAGAAGATACAAATACATGTGTTCTACCAAATGTTTTTAAAACACAAAGTCAGCAGGCTTTTACCATAAGTAAATAAATAACCCAGAATACTCACAGTGTTTTGCATGTATACGTTCCCATGCAAGGAGGGCCTACAGGTTAGGCTGGGCAATGAGTGTTAGCAACCATGGGTCATAAGTCAGTGTTTCTACAGTGGCCATAAAGACACATTTGAGAGGAGAGGCAACATGCTGAGTATCTGATGAGACAAACTTTGCCCAAGAGACTATAAATTCTGCTTTCCTTTTACTCTTATGGTTTTTAAAAGAATAATGACATCTCTACTAATGGTTCAGAAATTACATTTCTTTAAAAAGAAAAACACTTTCTCAATAAAATAGATAGAAAGCATGCTCTTAAAACTCATTCTGCAGGGTTCAAAAATCAGGCAAGTGCAAGGTGGTTCTACCATCGAGTATTCAGATGACTAGATATGTTAAATATAAACTTAAACTCAAGCCTCCTGGTGAAAAATCAAGAAGGTCCTAAGGCTACACGGGGGCAATGTGCACACTGGCCTAATTACTCTTACCCTGGCCTGGTTCCTTTGCTCCAGATTTTGAAAAGAATTCACACCAACACCCAGAATTAAGATTGACCAAAGTATCCAATTATTCCTCCTTTAGAAAGCATTTAGGGAGACAATATTTTTTGAAATGTATTTTTAGTTTTGCCAATTCGAAATCAACTGAGTAAAATAAAACACCTTATAGACCTCCAAAATGTCCTGTATGTATTTTCTAAAGACATCTATTACTGCAACTCTAACCCCCAACAACGTGTGTAATTTTATAAAATTACAAGCTACAACTGGTTAACATTTGGAAACAGAAACCAAGCTTCCGCAGGGCATGTGCTAAAGGGACTGTGATAGCCACATCTAGGACCAGAACCACAAGGTGTCAGGGTCCAGGGCCCTAAATTGCAAGGGTGAAGAGACGAGAGCTTGCTAATTATAGCACTTTTAGCTACTGGGCCATAGATTTTAGATTCATTGTCTTTAATCCTCACTATAAACCTGCAACGTTGGTATCAGTGCCCTCACCACAGATATGAAGGCTCAGGCTGAGAGATTTTAAATAACTCACACAAGGTCACAAGGTTAGTATCTGTAAGAACCCGAACTGAAATCTGCTTTCCCAACTCCAATCCAATGCTTTCACTCATCCGTCACGAGATTATTCAGATGTCATCATGTAACCTATCTGTGCTAAACATTTAAAGAAAGAAATGTTCAAGAAAGGAGGACACAAAAGCACCATCTTATTACTTTAATTTTGTTTATGAAATAGCTAGGGGCAATAATTTGGTAGGTCCTACATTGTTTTTTAATTTGAAAGGAAGTCTTTCTGAAGTGCCTACGTGAGAATGAAGGCTCTCTCTGGAGCCCATGTTTGTGTTTCTCTACTGGTTTGGCCATCATGACATTGATTCTAAGAAGATAGCAGTTACCATACAAACCACTGTTAATTCCTCTTGGATTCTGAAACAAAACCCAACTTATTAAACAGGTGATTAGCTCTAGTGTCCATTCTTTGTTCAGCTCTTCATTTTAGAGGTTATTAGTAGCAGAATATATTTCCTAAGGCTTTTGCCTACACAACACTCAAACAGGTTTTTCCAGTCACTGGACTAGGATAACACAAATAAAAATTATGCCACCACCATCCTCACGGTCCCCTCAATACAGGTTGGCCAGCCTTCCATTTATAATATCCATAATCTGAAGGTGGGACATTGACAAAGGCCAATAAATATGGCCCATTTCCAGATCAAATGCCCCCTCACCCTGCCAAGGTCAGATGCCAGAAATGTATTCTGGTTTTCTTCACCAGGTCATGATTCGAATCACTAGCTTCTCTACCTAAACTTGGTAAAGCAAAAAGTAAATAACGAAATGCCCGATAAAATGTCAAAACTGCCCTGGCGGGTTTGGCTCAGCGGTTGGAGTGTCAGCCTGCCATCCAGAGAGACCCGGGTTCGGTTCCCACTAAGGGCACGTACCTCGGTTGCAGTTTGTCCCTGGCCCTGGTTGGTTGTGCGGGTGGCAGCCACTAGATGTGTCCCTTTCAGGTCAATGTCTCTCTCTCCCTCTTTCTCTCCCTCCCACTCTACCTGAACAAAAAATGGAAAACTGTCCTCAGGTGAGGATTAAAAAAAAAAGTCAAAACTGCAATAGTTTCCCACTTTCCCTGACAACAAAGGTTAATGGTGATATGATTCCTGCAAGATTTCAAGCCACCCTTCCTCACTTCAATCTCGGCAGTGAAGACATGGGATTTACAAAAACAGACAAGCCGTTCTGGCAGGTGTGACTCAGGGTTAGTACGTCAGCCCGTGCACCAAAGAATCACAGGTTTGATTCCCCAGTCCTGGTCAGGGCGAATGTGGGAGGCAACCAATAGATGTGTCTCTCTCACATCAATGTTTCTCTCTCTCCCCCTCACTCCCTTCCTCCTTCCCTTCCACTCTTTTCAAACATCCTTGGGTGAGGATTAACAACAACAAAACAGACAAGCCAACTGTAAAATCCTCTTATGATTTGTAGTTTAAGTTCTCTGAAGACCTCTCACATCAATGTTTCTCTCTCTCCCCCTCACTCCCTTCCTCCTTCCCTTCCACTCTTTTCAAACATCCTTGGGTGAGGATTAACAACAACAAAACAGACAAGCCAACTGTAAAATCCTCTTATGATTTGTAGTTTAAGTTCTCTGAAGACCTCTCCATTAGGGTCTGTAAACAGCTTCCAAATTACTGTGTGTATTTTAAATTATAAAACTACCATTAAAAATATTCTATGGTTTTCCACTAATTCATACATCATGCCAAACAGTCCAAATTTCTAAAATTTTACACTAGTTTGGGGGTTGGGAGCTAAAGGAGGAATGCTTAGACAGAACTAGACTTTTTCTAATCACATCTAAAGACACATTTCGAAATACCTTGCAAGGCAGGCCACTGGTCACTGGCCAAAGTACTAGCCATGTGCTTTCCTTTAGGCTAAGGTGGATAAAGTAAATACTATCAACCAGGACTCCTACTGTTGGAGCTCAGGCTGTTCCGTAGTCACATTTACTTACTAAAGGAGCCAAGAAGCTATTATAACCCCAACCCAAAACCATGAGAATAGTTCTGGGTATTTAAATCCACTACTAAAAACTCCAGATACTGATGAATTACAGAAAAGCAAACACCTTTAGGAAGAAAGTTTAGCATCAGGGACAAATATGCCAGTTTTTCTCCAACTTGAACCCAAAGGTGTAGAGAA